CGTGCACTGAAGCCCTGGGCACTGCTGACGCTGGGGTGCCCTGAATGCATCATGAGGCCTGGCTTCTGCCAGCCCTTGCAGAAGGAAATGTGGGAGCTCACCCAGAAAGGGCCCATTTTGTTTCGTTTTCTGACATTGGTTGGTGGCCTCTGGGAGAGACGGTGTGCCAGGATACATTTAGAAAGCAGGTGAGTGCACCTGAAGGCATGCTCAGACGTGCTGGATGCCCCCAGCCATGGGTGACCCTGGGTAGCAGAGTGGAGGCACAGAAAATCTGATGGGAAGGGCACTGCCCTGAAAACTGCTGGACAGAACATAGAGCCAGCGGTAGTTTTTAGCAGGGCATCACACTAGATGATCACCAGAGGTCCCTTCTAGCCAACGTTTCTATAACAGCTCCATTTCCCAGAGCCTTAACCAACCTGAGCCAAAAAGGTGTGACAGGACAAACAAGACCTTACAGAAAAGGTGGCCAGACATTTAGGGCAGATCTTGCAGTACCCCCGTAGTACCTGGTGCAGCATGAGCACAATAGGCATGGTTTGGACCTATGGCAGGATTGTACTTTTGCAGCAGCCTTAGGGGCCCTGGTCTTGAAGATATAATATACTCTGTAATGGCAGTACTTGCAATTAAAAACTAACGAGTGTTGAAGTAATTTGTAGCACAACATGGCAAATAGGAGTTGTACAGAAGCACATGAACAACCAAAGAGCACATATAAAATTATGTACCTAATTTGCATGCACAGCAAAATGTCATAAATAAATGGAGAAACCGTATGTCAAACTGCATATGCAACTGTCCATTTGCGTGTGCAGTTACTCAGAGTCTATTCAAAGCTCTGTGCACACCTCTGCCTGCTAATCCTTTGCCAGAATGTAGATCACAATATATCATACAGACCACGAGTAAAAGGAACCAAGAAATTCATGCCATCTGTGAGTCATTCTTTTTATTTTTGTTCTGACAAGTGACACCAAACTTTTATGAATGTATGAAGCTTTGAACTCAGCTGAGATGCATGAGATGAATATGTCAGAATAGCTGTGTGAGTAATGCAGCTAGCAAGTGTGCATGCATTTTGCTTGCAAGAAGTTCCAAGCCTTTTTAACTAAAATGCTTTAAAGCACGTAAGTGCTGACTATATTGGGCGTTCACTCAATAGCCAATGCATGTACTGCTCAGAGCAAACCTTCATGAAGAGGCAAAATAGCATAAGCATTATGTTCCACACGCTTTTTTTGGTAGTGATTAGTGAATAAACTTGTTTAAATGTGTTTGCTGTGATTCTCGTGTCAATATTAACATTATGTTAATTAGTTCTCTCTAATGGCTGGTTTGTCACATTTCTGTATTTTCTCAGTACAATACCTCTGTGAGGTGAAGTTACGTGACTCAACTGAATTTATTTAATCCTGTCAGTTTTCACCTCATTCTAACATTACTCTTTTGATGATGCTATTATGTTAAACAACCATGAACTAACTAATTTCTGAAAAAAGGCTGTACCACTTACAAAAAGTACCGAATAGGGTGACAAGGAATGGCTAAAGTGTGAGATGGTCTTTGTGTCTGGAACAATGAAATAGTCAGGGAATTTCAGCCTGGAGAAAAAGAAGGGGTATGATAGAGGTCTCCGAAACCAATGGTGTTACAGACCAGGTAACAGCAAACGATTTTTCACTGTTTCTCAGAATATAACAGTGAAGAAACATCAAATAAAACTAGCAAGTGGCCATTCAAAGCAGAAACAGATAACCCAGATAAACTGCACATATTTAAAGGATGCTGTGGATGGTAAGATTTTATATGGTTTCGAAGACATCATTGGACAAGTCCATGGAAAAAAAAAATCATGAAAGGGCTATTGAATATAAAGATACTGCCTTTGGTTCATGAGACCCATGAATATAATTTGCTACAGTCTGGGAAAGTATCACGATATGTTTGTCCTTTTACACCTTTCAAAAGGCACCTACTTCTGTCCATTACCCTAGGTAAGGTAGTATGCTGCTTGCAGCTATGATCTGTGGTGGTATCCCCAGTGCCTTGCCCTATGTCATTAACAACAAACTTTAAAAAAATCTAAAATGAAAACAAGACAAATTCTGTCTTCATAAACATTCTGCTAATTTCCCTTCAAGGTCAGATCTGGTTTTCTTAACCATTCTTCTCCTTTATAACTCCTGTTAGTGTTATGAGAGAGGTACTCGACCTACCACAAGATACTTGTCTGGTTTAGCCAGACCTTCACAAGTAATGAGGCCTATTGCTGGTTGATCTAAACCACTTGTTTGGGTTACACTTGAGAAAAAAGCCACCACTGAGATTCAAAGAAATGATTGATTACACTTTGTTAATAAAATTGAAGGCCACACTTTTCAAAGAGGTCAGCAGCCACAAAGGAGGTACAATTTTCCAATAACACTCTCCTCGAGAGAATACTGTGTTCCTGGCGGGTTAAATGTCCAGTGCTCTTTTTGACCTTTTGAAAACCTCGCCCAAAATGTACATGTATTCATTTTCTCAGTGACTTCAAATAAACAAGGGCTGAAAATAAAACCACGCTTGAGAACAGAGTGTTTCACAACGTGTTCTTTGTACAGCACTCGTGTTGTGCTTGCTTGTAATTGTGGCTACAATCAACACTGAAAACCATGGCATTCAAAGGGACCACATTCTTAAAATGTCTTGCTGAACACAAAAATCTACATCCTTATTCTTAAAACTTGCCTGCAAGAGATGTTGTCATCTCACTGGCAGAGAAAGAAAAGACAGTCCCAAGTGTCTGACACAACACATGCCCTTCAAACTGGCCAACATTGCCAGAGCACTTACTAAAATTCAGGGAAACTCATTCTTCTGCTTTTCCTGACACCACCTCCCACAATCTCTGAGCAGATTTAAGAAATGATTGCAGCTGTAGAGGAAACATATAAATATTTGTGTGTGCACTCTGAGTACAGTAAATGACATACTGGATCAGAGCCACAATTTATCCAATGCAATAATCTGCCCTTGAGATAGCCACAGGACGTACATCTGAGAAACGAAAACCCCAGAGTAGATAAAGATGGGAACAGAGGATAATCTGCTTCCATAAAGATTGAATTCTAAGTCCCAGGAGTTAGAGTTTGCTTTAAAGCCTGAAACATGAGTTTCGATATCTATCTCATTACTCTTTTTCTTTTTTTGCAAGCATTGGTTATTACAGCTGAGGATTCTTGACTGTACAACATGCAAAGTTCCTTCTCGTCTTGCTAAATTCATGACCCTGGGGATTCCTTGTCAACTCACTGCATTAATCTTTCTAAAGGAAAATAGTTCCAAGAACAGAAATTCAGATTAGTTATGTGATGTTAAAAAAACCCTTCAAACTCTACATTGTCAATTTGTTTATTGCCAGACACTTTAGTGCCTGGTCTAAATTTGTGGTAAAAGTATGCAGTTGCATTTTTCAGATCTTTTTCTCCATTGAATATTTAGACAGATGCAATAGGATAATATGTTATTCTGATGAAATTATTTACCAGGATAAGCAATTGTACAACTAGGAAGAATATTTTAAAAAATAAGGTCAGCAAGCCATGAATATGCATATGTTAAGAACCACCAGCATGGGATTAAATTCAGCACAGGTGGTATACTGTGAAATGCCACCATCTCTCTCTGTTTCCCATGCAGTTACTCTTATAATGCCCTTTCCTCTAAACACCTATATAGCAATAGGGACAAGGAGATGTTAGTTACACACATGTTCACCAGACTGACCCTTTAGCACAGTCAGTTTTAAAAATAACAACAAACCCATGCCCAGCAGAGCACAGAAATTGACCTCCAGTGATGCCAGGGTTTGATTTGTACACCTGCTGAGCATGGTCTCCAGAGATCAGCAAATTTGAAGGAAAAAAACAGGCTGGGTGGTAGTATTATGATGATGGTCTGGAGATTTTGCGTTACAGTTTGTCCAGTGTCACCTCAAAAACATTTCATGGTATGAAAGGACACCACTGCTGGGCAGAAACACAAAGAACAGAGGTGGTCACAGCTCTGTAATTTTCTCTGTGGACAACATTTGCCTCCTAGAGGGAGACTTTATGAAACAGAGGTTCATGTTATTTACACCTGTGTAAATGTGCAGTAGGTGAACTGTTAGCAGTAGGAGTTGGATATTGGCATCCTTCTGTTTTGGATTATTGGTACTGGAAATCATACCCAAATATTCTCAATTTGCAAAAAGGTCTAGTTCATATTTTGAGTAAGCTGTTTCTTCAATCTCTCCTCTCCTCTCCTCTCCTCTCCTCTCCTCTCCTTTCCTCTCC